GGCCACAGATCATTGTTAACCACAGTTCTTAGTTCCAGTATAATGCTAAGCCAGGGATCAGGGGTTGTTTCCTCACAATGCTAGCGGCAAGCAATAAATTGGATACATTGCATACACAGTAAGTCATGGTTTGTGGCTTATTATGATGTGCAAACACGGCTAATATCTTACTGAACAGACAGTTGCATAGATGTTCACTTTAAACAGCCTAACCTACTGAATGTACTCTTTGATGAAGCATCTTCCACCCCACCCTGCTCCCTCCATCTCATGAAAGAGGAAGGGGAGGAAGGGAAAGGAGATTGTTAGCCGCTTTGAGACTCCTGAAGGGGAGTGAAAGGCGGGATATCAAATCCAAACTCTTCTTCTTCTTCATGAAAGAGTTAGACCCCAAAAAGGCCAGGGGTCGGGGAAAGGGCTCTTTCAATGAAAGTTATGCTTAAGAATTCCATGGCACTTTGCATCTTCATACTATAATGCAGTTATTGATTAACTGATGCCAATGACTGTTTAACTTCTTGGAAACTTGAACGTGGTTTGCAGATAACAGTTCGGGAAATGTAGCATCCAGTCACATGACGTTTCAGTTTCTACTTCATAGCTGCTTCCCTGAAGTTTGGAGATTTGGTGGTAAAAAATACACTTCTCACTCCTTGTTACAAATGACCAGGTTTCCTTTTGTGGTAGCATGTGCACCTCTGTAAAGTTTCCAAGTGGTAAATAAAATCATTTGCAGCCACCTAAAGAGCTTGTTGTGGTCATGTTTTAAGTTGTGCCTGGGAAAGATTTGATAACACTGCATACAGCAAGGAGTTAACTTCTCACCTGATTTGCAGCCTAATATAAACTTCCACTTGGCCACGCTGGAGCCAACAGTGCCAAAGTTTTCAGCAATGTGTGTAAGATTTCAGGAGCACTGTATAGTTTTACCTCCATTTAATAGATGGCAGATTTAGAAGGGTAATCTGTGCAGGAAACTTGCTTCTGGACCCAAATGGCTCTTGCCCCATCAGAGGGTCATGAGAGGAAGGCAAAGGAAGGCACAGCTCTTCTGTATTAAGAAGTCTTTTAGCAAGATCCTATGCATGCTTACTAGGAAGTAAGTCCCATATTCACCAAAGCTTACTCCCAAGGAAACATGCCTAGGATTGCAGCCTTCGATGTACATGGGCTAAGTGGCCTATGAGGTTCACACACTTCAGTAAGGATGCTACATTTTTATGGTGCCCTTCCTGTGATGTCCTCAAGATGGAGCTCATGGTCCCCTCTCCCCACATTCTCACAACAATCTTGTGAGGTAGGTGAGGCTGAGAGTGGCTGGCATAAGGTCATCTAGTGTACTTCATGGTTGAGCTGAGATTTCAACTGGGGTTTCCTCAGGTCAGTGCTGTATCTACTGTGCCAGGAATGTCCAACTCCCAAGAGACTATGATCAACTCCCACTATAAAAAAAATCTGGCAGTGATCTACCCATTGGATTGACCAGGGGAGGCTTCACCTAAGTCAGGGGTCGGCAAGGTTTACCTCGCCTGGGCCGGTTCACGCCTCGGCCGCAATTTCCTGTAACTGCACAAACACGATTTCTGCATCGCTGTAGACATGATTTTCAACATCTGAGCATGCAGATGCGATTTCTAGCACCGCAGAAGCGAGTCCCCACGCTGTGCCAGTTTAGCGCAGTTCACAGGGACTCTCCAAGTGGCTGGCTCGGCCTACCCCTGACCTAAGTTGTTGAGCTTTTAAATATTTTTTTAAAAAATTGTGAGATTGATAAGTATCACACAATCGACCAGGATCGCAATCGACCAGTTGGACATGCCTGTACTATGCTACATGCTAGTTCTAACTTCATGGTGTGATACCTATCCTACTGTTGGAACTGATAATCTTTAAAAATGCGTTCACAAAGTACAAAAAAGTGGTTTGTTGTTGCTTATTTATATTTTGCTTTGGGACCCAAAGATCCCTGCATATTAATACTACCTAATATAGAATATACTAGAAGGCAGCCCTGTTTAGGGATGCTTTTAATATTTAATGCTGTATTGTTTTTAACACTCGATTGGGAGCCACCCAGAGTGGCTGGGGAAACTCAGCCAGATGGGTGGGGTATAAATAATAAATTATTATTAATTATTATTATAGGTTCAATAAATCAATCATCAAGACTACAGAAGGGAGCAAAGTCACTAAATATGTAATATTTGGGGGTTGACTGGCCTAAGACCATCTCACTCAACTCAGTCACCATCTTTAACCTTAGCTTTCAGCCCTGTATTCCCTTTCCCTCTCAGGACATCAGGCAAGCAAACAGGACCAACGGTGTCCCCTCCCCCGTTCACCACAGCCCAGGCACAAAGAGGGTAGCTCCCTGCCCTTGCCCCAGTGTAAAAGGAAATGCTTGCTCTTGCTGAAAGATGGGATGGAACCTTTTTCCTTTCTGAACTTCCTAGTTAAAGCTGGGAATGCTAATGTGACTAGTCTAAAAGCTGTCCATTTGACTAAATGAACAGAGGTGTGCGCCCTCGTGTTTCCCGATACGGAAAGTCAAACTGAGTGGAGATGGTAAAATCCTTGCTGAGCAGACTCTGCACTTGACTGTACTTGTCCAAAATCCATGGAATGTGCCTTGTCTAATCTCGCTGGTTGTGTCTGCAGTCTGGGTGCATAGCCTAACCTAATCATTTGGCAGTAGACCCCGATCTCCATTGAACATCTGGAAAAAAAATAGCTGGCAGAAGACTGAATTTCCAGCAGTGGGGAAGGGTTAAGCATCTCTCTCCCTGCCTTCCCACTTCCGCTTCACTCCCCTGCCAGCTGTTTGCGCCCCACAAGCTGGGATTGCAAGGCTCCTGCTTGCCTGCTAATAGGAGCTGGAGGGTGAGGGTGAGCGCAGGGGAAAGAGTTGACTCCTTCCTCCCACCCCCACCTTCTCTCTGTCAAATTGTGGTCTTCCTTTCCCTTCTACTTTGAGGCATCAGAGGCCTGCATTAAACCCTGATTTCCGGTAACTCATGTCCCTAGGGCCTTTCACAGGATTTTTGCAGCTTTAAAGAAAGCCCAACGCTGAGAGGAGAATTGAGTAAAGACAGAGCTTTCCAGACTCGCCTCTCTGCTGAATGTCTAGCTTGGGCTCTGATGCAGAGCAAAGAGGGAGCTGTTGCAGGGAACTTCCTATAAATGTTGATGGACTCACAACTCACATCAAACTCAGCCAGCATGGCCAATGGGCAGGGTTGATGGGAATTGTAGTTCACCAACATCTGAAGAGCTACAGGTTCCTCATTCCTTATAGAGCTTCATGGATGTGCCATCAGTAAATTGGCATTCTCTGTGTTTCTATTACAGTGGTACCTCTGGTTACGTACTAATTTGTTCCGGAGGTCCAAATTGTTCTTAACCTGAAGCACCGCTTTAGCTAATGGGACCTCCTGCTGCTGCCGCGCCACCTCCACGCGATTTCTGTTCTCATCCTGAAGCAAAGTTCTTAACCCGAGGTGATATTTCTGGGTTAGCGGAGTCTGTAACCTGAAGCGTATGTAACCTGAAGTGTATGTAACCCGAGGTACCACTGTACTTAGTTGTTCAGTCCTCAGCCACTGCGTTTTCAGCTTCGACCCTCTTCACAACTGTGACAATTCAGGCAGTAGACCTTAGAAAAGTTGGATTTTTCCAAGTTTGTACAGCCACACCTAGCTTTAAGATGGAGTGTCAGAGAACAGTTAGTCTTCCTTATTTTTTTTTTAAAAAACACAACAGTATCTTCCCCGCCTCCTTGCTCCATTTGTATCTGTAGACGGAATTCCAGAATGCCACACCTTGTCGGTTTCCCGTCTTTCCTTGTTACCTGTAACAAAAACAGAAGTGAATCTCTGCCAGGGGTGAATCTACACTGAGTCAGGCGGTGCTTAGCTGGAAACAGCCCAGTTCCATGAAACCGAAAGAGATTAGAGTAATTAAATCCAAGTGCAAATTTGCTAAACTGATACAAGCCTGAGATTTGGGATTCCTCAAAACGGATGTGAGTCAACCGCTGCAATTGTTCTCCAGTGAAATTTTGCTTTGTTATATGTGCAACAGTTAAGGGTGTCCCTGTGCCAGAGGACAAGGCTCCTGCACCTTTAAGTAGTTATGCAGAGGAAGAAAATTCAGCAGGTGCAGCTGATCAGGAATCTGATGCCTCAAAGTAGTTCACCTTGGGGCCAACCAGATGCAACTTAGTGTGCAAGTTTTTTGTTATATAAATAAGCAGCCACAAGGAAGCCTGAGCACCTTGGACCCTTGGGGTTAAAGAGTGTTGCTGTTGTTCTAAACCTCTTTCTCTTCCTACCAGCGCTGCAAAAATCACTTCTCCAAACCTGCTATTTGCATTCCAAGGGAAATTCTCATTGGGTTCAGTTCTTCACAGAATGGACAAACATGAAGACTAGCATATTACAATGCAGATGAAGCAATTATTAAATTGCAGAAATAAATTTTTTAAGGACCTTAAATACTGTTTATTAAAGTCATTAAAAGCACAAGAGAACAGGATGGGCTCGGGCTGGTACCTAAAAGATAGAAAATGAAGTGCTGGTGAATTTTAGGGAAGGAGCTTGGATGGATGCCACCACAGAAAAGGCCCTGTCTCCCACTGCTACTTGCTTAGCCTTCAAAGGGGGAAACCCTGGGAAGGGTCTCGAAAGCAGATCTCAGTTGGTGGCCAGGTTCATGTGGGAGAAGGCAGTTAAGTTCAGCTCCCATATATAGCAAGGATGGGGACTCCGTGACCCTCCAGACATTGTTGGACTCCATCTCCCATCAGCCCCAGCCAGTGTGGCCAGTAGTCAGGTAGGAGGGCCACAGGTTCTCTAACTTTGCCCTAATAAATGCAATCCGATCAGAGTAAATATGCAGAAGATCAGGCTGCATTTCCTGGGAGCTGGAGCATCTGGAATGCCACATGTTCTGCTCTAGATGGAGGTGCCTGTTTTCTTATCCTCCTTGTTGCCCTTTTGCAGAAGACCAGGTGGCACAGCAGACAGAAGAGGTCTTCCAGAGCTATGTTTTCTATCGATACCAACAGGAGCAGGAGCAGACTGGGCAGGAAATGCCAATAGATCCAGAAATAGCTGTGATGCAGCCGGAGCATGACAAGTAAGAGCACATATTTGAAACCTATACCCAAAATACAAGCCGTATGCCAGTCTGCCTCCACAGGCATGTCTAACACGGTCATTCGTCTCTTGGGCAGCATCAACAACCAAGTGGGCAGGCGCCTGGCCACCATCGGGGATGACATCAATGCACGGTATGACAGCGAGTTCTCTGAGATGCTAAAGTCACTGAAGCCCTCCAGGGACAATGCCTATGAGTACTTCGTCAAAATAGCCTCCAGGTAGGTCTCCCAGACTCTACTTCTCCCTCCCCAAAAAGTGAGAGGCTGGTTCAGTTTTCTGATATGAAGAGTTCTCAGATGTTGCTCTGTTAGGTTCCCTCATAAGAAGAGGGAGAAGATTGAAACAAATTTTGGGCTTGTTGCTTTAATGTAGTTTGCTTTGATTTTATTGATGTTGTTTTGGTTTTAATTGAGATTGTTTTTTTTAAAAAAATCTATTTAGTTAAATAAAAACATATACATCAATAACCTACAACAATAAAGAAATAAAGGACAACAGTATAACTGAACAAAAATTAAACATACACAAGACGTATAGAGAGAGATTTGGGTCATTGCATTCACATTCTCTGGAAAAAGAATAATGATAATGACGACAACAATTGGGGTTGGAGGACAGCAACTTTAAAAACGTACTTGTTTCATTTATAAATATCAGGCTATTGTCCTCCGGGTCTTACGATGTTCTTGCAGCTGAAAAGTTACTAAGAATTGCAAATAGTACCATATTTCACAAAAGTCATTACAGAAAAGTGGGTGATTAAAACAGGGGAGTAAGTGTGGACTCGATATGTAACTGCAGTTTTTAGGAAGGGACTTTGTACCCATTTTTGGTCCTTATTAAGGAAAAAATGCTGCCACTACAAGGATTCCATATTGACTGTCATTTTCTGACCCACACAGCTTTAATTGCATGTTCACGCCACTTGTGTGATCAAGGTAGGAGGTTTTGCAGAAACTCTGCTCAAAGTAGTGAGCCAAACACCTGGACCCTCCCCATGCCATGTTGCAAAGTGAAGGGATCAACCCATTCCCTCTTGCCAAGTTCTTTCTAAACCAGCAGGCAGGTAGGGAAATTACCATAGGTGGTCTGGCAACAAGCAGCTTTGTTGCGGCCCAGAGCTTATCCACGGTGGTCAGTTGCCAAAAGAAGGATTTGGGTCAGAGGTCTCCCTCATAATTCTCTTTCTGCTCCCTGACCCACAGCGCATACATGCCTATAGACGGGTGCACCCATACTCGTTCCCTGTGAATGTTGTTTAACTGTCTCTTGTGTCCTCTCTTCCTGCTCTCCCCTCCTTGGGAAGCCAAGCAGCGTTGCTCTCACCCCTTTGCCACCTTGAGGTGGTCAGTGTACTGCAACCAGGTAAATTAACCTACAGTGCTTTCTCTTCCCTCTCTTTCAGTGATGATGTGTGTGTGAACTCTCTCCATTCCATACTATGCCTGCTGAGCTTTTTACAATGGCATACAAATCTTCAAGGTTATGCAACCTAATGAGACATGCTTCCATGTTTAAGTCTCATTTTGTCTTATAATTCTGTTTTTTTTAAAAAAAACAACAACACAACAACCATCACAAAAATAATGATAATCCTGTTGTGATTTTTTTATTATTCTGCCAGTCAGCCAAAGGGGTTCTCTGAGCAGCTAACAATCAAGTTGAAATGCATGTAAAATTCAGTTAAATATTAGCCAAGTTGACTGGCAAACGTCTCGGAGCATCCTGCAAAAAGAGGTGGCATAGTTCTATAGATGGTGCCACCTCAGAAAAGGCCCTACTACTTCCCCCTAAAGACTGTGGTACCCAGAGCAGAGCTATCCTGAAGATTTAAGTGCCAGAGCAGGCATCATATGGGATGTGTCTTGCTGTTTATGTGGATAGCAATTCTCAGCTTTCACAAGTCTTATTTTCCCCCCTTTTCTTCTTGGATGCCAAAGGCATCCAAGTATGTGCTGCTTTGCTTCTAGAGTGAACACTGTTTTCCTTCGACCATGTTGCTGGCCCTTGAACACAGGGTCAGATTTATTTGCTGGGTTATTCAACTGTAGATTATGGGCACCTCCAGTGTAAATGGCGCCATGGGTTGCAACTGAGGATAGGATTTGCCACAGCCCATCACTCTTTGTGCTTTTCATTGCCACAGACCAGTGCTTGTACTTCGCAGTCTGAACATAATGTGGTGTTGCAGCTGTACAAACAGAAGAAAATTTGTTTTCTGCTTAGATGAAATTACGTGACTGAGCCTTAACCCTGTTCCAATATGACTTTTGGAAGCAGATCTCATTATATTATTTTTATAATATTTATTACTTACCCTTTGCCAGCAGGTCCCAAGGCAGGTTACAACAATCTAAAATTCGGAATTAAAACAGCTAAGGCAGTACAGGCTTGGCCTGTGCATTCAAGCAGAATTTAGGGGAGAGAGGTACCATTTGAAGCCACAGGTGGGGAGTACTATATTTGCGTGTGTGTGCTTTTAAGTGTAAATTTATTACAAAGTTGTTTCTTCATTTTTATTTGTATGAATATTAGTATATTTGTATGAATATTATATATATATAAAAAGTCATAATCACCTGCAGTCTGAAATGACAGTCCATTCTGCCGTCTTGGGATGCTTCTACCTCTTTTTATTGCATGTTATAGAAGGAGCAGGGACGCGGGTGGCGCTGTGGGTAAAACCTTAGTGCCTAGGACTTGCCGATCGTATGGTCGGCGGTTCGAATCCCCGCGGCAGGGTGAGCTGCCATCGTTCGGTCCCAGCTCCTGCCCACCTAGCAGTTCGAAAGCATCCCTAAGTGCAAGTAGATAAATAGGTACCGCTTTCTAGCGGGAAGGTAAACGGCGTTTCTGTGCGCTGTGCTGGTGCTGGCTCACCAGAGCAGCTTCGTCACGCTGGCCACGTGACCCGGAAGTGTCTTCGGACAGCGCTGGCTCCCGGCCTCTTAAGCGAGATGAGCACGCAACCCCAGAGTCGGTCACGACTGGCCTGTACGGGCAGGGGTACCTTTACCTTTACCTTATAGAAGGAGCACCTCTCCCAATATCTCCCACCTCAAGTCTTACAATCTGTGGAGGAGGCCCTACTCCTGGTCCCACCTAACATGGTGACTTGGGGTAGAGCCTTCTCTACTGTGGCCTCCCAGCTGTGGATTGGCCACACATTTTCGTAGTCAAGTAAACGACTTTTTTGTTCTGTTAGGCATTTGGGGAGGAGTGAGCTGAGAATTGTTCTTCATCGTGATTCTTAACTGTAAGATAGATGTTTTCATGGTCTCTGGTCCCCCCCCCAATATATATTTGCTGTGTTGCTGTATTTATCATTTGCTGTACACAGCCCGGGGATCCCTTTATGATGAAGGGTAGATTAGAAACAGAATGAATGATTGCAGCCTCACTTCCAGAGGAGTTGCAGCCCTTGAGAAGCCCATGTGGCTGGCCTTCCGGGACGCACACTGCTCAGCTGTAGAAAAGTACCTGAATAGAAAGTATCTACATTTTAGTAATCTGTGTACATTTGGATTCTTGGGAGGAACAGCTTGAACAAGATCCGAGTGACTGAAGGCATATACACAGCCTTTTCCCCCCTCGACGATATAAAAGTCTTGTTAAATATGCCTTGTGCCTTAGCACTGCTCAGGGGAAGACGCTAGCATGCTGTTGAATGGTGAGGGGGCAGGTCAGAAAGTTGCTTTTAATGCTACAGCAGCAGACTGCGAACAAGCTGTGCCTCAGTAGAGGGTAGCAAAGGGCTGGCCATAAAACGTAGCCTGAATTTTCTAAGAATAATAATGAAATGGTCTCTTCCGCAGTTTGTTTGAGAGCGGCATCAACTGGGGTCGTGTGATAGCACTGCTGGGCTTCGGCTACAGGATGGCAATCCATGTGTACCAGCAGGGGTTGACCGGCTTCCTAAGCAGGATCGCCCGCTACATGGCTGACTTTGTGCTTAGAAACCGCATTGCCCAGTGGATTGCCCAGCAGGGAGGATGGGTAAGTGAACCAGAGAGCTGTCAAAGATGAGTGGGTTGGTTTTTTTAAAAAAAAAAACACACACACATTTCTTTTACTATGAAAGTATGCTGGGACTGATCTGGGGTGGGCAGGAGTGGGCGTAGTAGGGCAGTGCCAGGCTGCTTCCCTCCCAACAGTGGAGTCATTGCTGTCTAGTGAGAAGGTGTTGGGGGAGAGATCAGGGCTGTGCAGGGCCTTGGGGGTATGTGCCAGATCGACACTGTTGGTGCACCTGTGCAACCTCAGGCTTGCCTCCGTAAGCTGCTGGTGCACCTTCCTGGCATCTAACTTTTCTTTCAGGGAGTGGGGAAATACATGCCAAGAAATTGCTGTGGTTCCCCTGGAATGGGTCCTCCCAACATTTCTGCAGGTAACAGTATTTTTTCCCTCCTCCTCTAGGCGGCAGCACTGGACTTAAGCAACGTTTACTGGAAGTATGTGGTGACAGTGGCCGCCGTGATTTTGCTGGGCCACTTTGTGATGCGGCGCTTCTTCAACAACCAGTGACCGGGAAGGAGAGCGTCACTGGCCGTTTGCATCCCAGCCACTGACTCGCTCCTGGGAGGTGACACTTGTCAAGGAGGATTCAGGAAACAACCAAAGGAAGCCAGATGGTTCTTTATCACCTTCCAATATGACACCAGCTTATTAACCATCCACATGGAGATTTCAAACACAAGAAATCCGCAGCATAGTATTTAAAAAGGTGGAACTGAGTATGGGAGACGATTTATTACTTCAAGAGACCACTGGGGGGAGGGTGAGAAAACAACAGGTTGGTTACATTCACAGTGTTGCCAGAGGAAAAGCAAGGGATGTTGTTTCCTCCCTGAAATCCTTAAGAAGGACAAGTCCTTTTCCAGAACGTTCTCAGGGCCAGCATAATCCCAGCTTTTGCAATTCCATTCCTAAAGAAAGCAGAAGGTCAAGCAGCATGCACAGCACTGTTGTTTGCTCAGTACAGCTGTCAATTCTTCCTCTGCCTTATGCTTTTCTAGTGCTGAAAGAATCATGTGGCTGATTGGGAGATCATGTAGATTTGCTTCTGGGTTATCAGCATGAGTAGCACCTTCTAAGATCTGTAGATGTACACCTAGACAAAGCCTATCCCAGAAGGGGCGGCCGGGTGAGACAGTGTCTAAAATATTTCATTCCAGTGGAACCTCGGTTTTCGAACATAATCCATTCCAGAAGACTGTTCGACTTCTGAAACGTTCAGAAACTGAGGAGCAATGGGCAGTCAGCAAAATCTACTGAGAAAATTGAAAAACACGCAGTGGAAGCTGTTCGACTTCTGGGGCACATTCGAAAATGGAAGCAATTACTTCCAGGTTTTCGGCGTTCGAAAACCAAAACGTTCAGCTTCCGAGATGCTCGAAAACCAAGGTTCCACTGTCTATGCAGACCTATTTGTCATCCACCAGATTATTTCCTTGATCAGGCATAGAGCTCAGTACTCATTAGTTGATCACTCTCATGCCCTCACTCTCTTTTAACTTAGTTGCAGTGATCCTTCTCTGTCAGTGGAGAGCGCCAGCCACTGCAGAAGTTATGAATATGCTTCTTTTCATGCAGCAGAGATCTCTTGGTTCCTTGCGTGCCAGCATTATTGCTGTCCACCTTGACCAGGTAGTCTGTGTATGCAGTTTGGGAGGGGGGCAAAAAGTTGTTGAAGGAATTGGGGGAGGCATTTTTTTTGTTGTTGTTTGATTCCGTTATAATTATTTACCCCTTTGACAATCACTAGCCCAAAGCTTCAATTCCCTTTGACGCAAATGGCGTCAAAAAGTCAGCACATGAATTGGTACCCCTAACGTAAGATAGGGATGGGGGACCTGTAGACCTCCAGATGTTATTGGACACAAACTCCCATCAGCCCCATACAGCATGGGCAGTAGTCAGGGATGATGGGAGCTGTAAGGAGGGCCACAGGTTCTCTAACTTTGCCCTAATAAATGCAATCCGATCAGAGTAAATATGCAGAAGATCAGGCTGCATTTCCTACAGGTTTTAGTATGAAAGTTGAGCATGTGCTTATGTCTCCCACTGAAATTGATGGGATTTGGAAGTGCACGATTGGAGCTGTCCTTGACTCCAAGCAAATGTGCAGAGCTGGAACTTGCCATTTGAAGGAGTTCTGGTTTTCAAAGTCCTTAGCTGCAGAGTCCTGCTTAGCTATAAAAAATGCAAAAAAATAACAACACCCCACCAACCTGTCCACATTGCTTACTTAACTCTTGTTTTGTATAGCTTTTAAACTAGGATAAAACTGCATTGACTGCAGTGAAGCCAAGATTTTGAGCACAAAGGGTTCCTTTTCCTTGCTTTACAAAGCTATACGGCAAACGCTTACTTTGTAGCTTCTTTCATCACTTTCTTGGTTTCCAAGAGCTCTTAAGACAAATACTTAGAAGCAATGTATGCATTTTTTGTACATTGTTTGCTTTTTTAAAAAAGTCACACCGCCTTGATTTCTTCTGAATGTGCATGCCAGCAATATTTGTTTTGTTTAAAATGTTTGATTTGGCTAACAATAATTTAACTTTGTCATGGCCTAAAGGTTTGTCGTGGTTATGTCTTGATGCGTGCTGAACTTCATCCCTGCCCAATGCAATCTTACTTTTCTGAAGTCCCATTTTGTTTCCAGTGAGCCTATAGTCTGACGACGAGCTGCACATCTCATCATTCCTTACCGCTGGCTATGCTAAAACTGGGATTTGTCTGAGAACAGATCAGTAGGCTTCTGCTGTGTGTGTTTGTGTATCATACTAAAGTAGGAAAAGAATCTTTTTCGGAACAGCAGTTGTACAAAAAAAAATCCATAGTACACTTATGTGGATCTAATCTATCAAGCCTATGGTAGCTTACTTCTAAGTAGATCTACAAAAGATTGGGAATCTAAGGTACTACTCATGGTGAAAATTGAAGCAGGGTGGTTTTTATTTGTTTAGTTTATGCCAAACACTTTGATCTTTGGCACCACCCGCCATTGGCTCAGACTCTGCCCGCTGCCAGTATATAGGCCCTGGGAGATTTCTCCCAAGGAAATGTGGCCCTTGGCAGGGAAGAAAGAAGAAGGTTGCTCATCCCTGCTGCATAGGTACGCATCCTGCCACTCAGCTCAAGGGCTGGGTGGCAAACAATTTGAGTAAAAAAGCAAATCCAGGAGGCAGGGAGGCCCTGGTACTAGCTGGTCCACACAGTGGCTGTCAACCACTGTGGATTTCACCAGCCAGAGTGTCCATGGATACAGAGATGGTAAAAGTTCTAGCAATGAGAACTCGCATACAGAGATTTGTCGCAGCAATGTATTTTCAACAAATAGCCATTTCTGCCAAAGAAGAGCCAAGTAAAATTGTGGGAGAAAAGGAATCTGTTGGGAACGGGAATTGCTCCAATAAATCTTTGTATCGCTTTAGGAATTTTTGTTTCTACTGATGGAGAAATTATGTGTAGATCAAAAGGTTGCACCATTCTGAGTTGCTTCAAATTTAAACATGTCGTGTCATATCTTCTGTCATTTGGGACCAGGCTAGCAACTGCTGAATAAGTGACTCTCATATATATATATATATATATATATATATATATATATATATATGAATGATGATACAGTGAATGCAGGTATGGCGTATGTAAATGACAAAGCTGCAGAAACACAGGCTAGGGTACTGGATGCAGAATTTAATTTCTTGAGAATCTCAGCATTGATTCTTCTACAAAATAAGCAAGAATCTAAGCTCTTTTGACTGTGAAGATACATCTGAAATGATGGGCAATGCTGCTGAAATCTCAGAGGTGGCTAACCAAAATATCTAATTACTAACAGTGGGGCACCAGTGACCTCCATAGCTTTTTCACCCCATGATTAGGAAAACCAGACTAACAAGACAATCTTAATCATGCATACTTTGAAGTAAATCCTATTGAATTCAGTGGGTCTCACTCCCCAGTAGATGGGATCAGGAGTGCGGTCTAAATTCTGCAAAATCAGCATTTGTGCAAGTTTGCCTAATTTATGCTGGAAAAAGCATTTTAAATTTCAGAGCATAGAGTTCTGGGTAGAGGCAGAGGTCGGGCTTCACCAGCATCTTGGTTTGAGAAATGCTGCTTAAACGTTTGAAGAATGTGTGGCTTCAAAAGAGGATTAGACAAATTCATGAAGAATAAGGCTATCGATGGATAAGTTCTACCTCCAGTTTCGGAGACAGTACACACCCAGGGAACCACAGGAGGGATGCATGCTGTTGTGGCTTCCCATAGGCATCTGTTTGGACCACTGACTAAATGGGCCACTGGTCTGATGCAGCAGGTGTCTCTTAGGTTCCAAATGAACACCGTTTCTGGGGGCTGGTCAGTAGCATTTGACTGTCTCCTACCTAGCAATGAATTTCCTCCTCCCCCCCCCCAACATATATTAAAGGCTTTAGCTAATATTCTGTCCAACTCATTTCTTCAAGGGTTTCCATCTTATAGTCTCCATCTGTGCCATAGAATTGGTTGCCCCTCTAGAGCATAGGAAACACTCCTGGTGACACTTGTGGCAGCTCTGGGTTTATAGCCATGAAATAGGTAGAGGCAGTGCTTCTCCAAGTAGACTGCTCAGCAGTCTAAACTACATGAGCCACTGAGGAAATCTTTGGGGATGACAGTTACGTTTTTACATACATACTTGAAGCCATAATGTAGCTATGAATCTTCTCCCTGTATTCTGTATTCTATTTAAGAAGCTGCTTATTATTTTCCGTGCATCACACCCAGCTTTAACAGTCCCCTTGCCCTCAGGGATTCAAAGGGAATGAAGCTAATAATCCAGAGGTACCCAGGACATAAGTGCATCCAGCAGAATTGCTTTTCATTATCTTGCCTCCTTACCTGCAAGGCGATCGCTCGAAAAGTGAATCACTGCTGGACGTGTGAATCGCTGGAGGAAGAAGAAAGAACGTATTCCAGGGAAATAAATACAAGTAGGGAAAGGGGCTGTCCTCTTCAAATCACATTGCTTAATGGCAATGTGGTGTGCATGGCCAAGAGTTTGAAGAATTCCAGCTCTAAATGCAGATCCTGAATTGAGTGTTTATTGGAGGAAATGAGTCTACAGCTATATCTCCTGCTTTATACACAGACTGCTTTGGGATTTGGAAAGATGTCCCTCTGTGGTGTTTAATACAACACAGACATCTAGCAGGGGTTGTTGTTCTGGTCTCAAAAGGCCAAGAAAGGGGACCCCGTCTATTGGATCTGGGTATATAAGGTTTCTTGCGTGTAGCACATCATGCACCAAGCAAAAAACAATTGTGCCTTTCTACCTCCATCAAGATCCGACCCCTTCGTGGGGGCATGGTGGTGCTACTGCCTTTGGAGATACAGCGAAGGTGCGTCTTATCACACTCCCCAAATGAGCACTCCAGCATTCGTTGCGTGGGGTATTCATGGGGAATGCACTGGGTGGTTTTCCTGGAAAGCTATGCCTTCTATGTACTTCTGAATTGTGAAGTGCCTGGCACACTACTGGCACTAAGTAAACGTTAAATGGTAGTTTCTGTAATATATATGTCAAAATAAAAGTTATATGCAAATACAGATGGTTTTAAGTTTATGTTATTTAAGTAAGATAACAATTGTTTGATGTGATATCATATGACCTCTCTGCAAACAAATCAAGATGAATGCAAAATAAATAGGCTGTCAGGAAACAGCCTGGGTATTAAGAACATTACCTGCAGTGTAGGATGAAAGACGGAGGCACGGAGATTCATCTCACCTCCTGCATTTCCCACGCTGGCAATCTAATAAACAAAGACAATAAAAGGAAAGTGGAAGCTAAAAGCAATTAATGAAGACTGGAAAAGGCAACAGTCTTAAATAGCCATAAAAGCAGCATTGCCTACTTGCTGACAAAATCCAAGGCAAAAAAGGTAGGTTTAGGTTACAATTAATTCTAAGCACACTTGCCTTGAAATTAATAAGACATACTTCTGAGTAGATATGCATAGGATTGCATTTGTAGGAGTTTTGACTGGAAGCTGCCATGGCCATCCTTGTGAACAGTCAACCCAAATGTGAAAAAAACACAAGGGCTGGTCAATTTCAAAGTAATATTTGTATGTTTTTGTTGCACACTGGACCAACAGGTCCTGGCAAGACACTATTGTTCTGCCTTACCCAACTATTTTTTTGTGTGTGTGGAATGTACTGCCATTCCAAGGTAGGTAAGTTATTGACACAATTTATATCCCACCTTCCAGTAAAATATCCAAGGTGGCTTATAGTCTGGATAAAAATACACATGCTATAATAAAAACAAGCACAACAATATCAAATAACATCACCGAAATCGGTCCTAAAACTAAAAGTCACCTGATTTTCATGCCACAGATGCCAGCTTGTGCCAGTCATTCCCACTAATGCTCTTTGCCTCTAACAGCAGCTGCAGCTGCTCAAAGAGCTCATGGAGGATTCTGGAACCCCCCAAAAATGCATCTCCATGTCATTCCAGACATCAACTAGCCATCCAACTGGATGTAAAGACCTTCATTGCCTCTCCCTCTGGAGTTGTAGGCATCTGTTGTTCTGTACCCTTGACACTCTATCCTCACCAGTAGTTTCCACTTGATTTCACCGCTAATCTTCCACAGGAAATCATTTCCCCAAATGCACAAGTTTTGACCATTTTCAGTCAGGCAATGGAGAAAATTAGGCATACCCTTTAACGTAAGGATGGGGAATGTGTGGCCCTCCAGATGTTGAGATTCAGTTTACATCAACCCCAGCCAGCATGACCAATGATCAATGGTGATGGAGTATTGTAATCCAGAAATACGGAGAGGGGCACAAATTCACCACCCCTGCTATAAAATGAAAGGGTAGTAGAGCTTTATGGAAGGGCCATCACTCTGGATTGAGCATCTGCTTTGCATGCAGATTCAGTCCCCAGCATCTCCAAGGATGGCTGGGAGAGAACTAGTCTGAAACTCTGGATTGCCAGTTAGGGTAGACAACATTGAGCTAGATGCATACATTGAGTTTGACTCAGTATAAGGCAAATTTCTATGTTCCTACATGACTTAAGAACTGGGCTCCGAGTTTAAAATTCCCAATTAAGTTTTCCATTTATAGATTTATAGAATTGTCATTACTGTTAATGCCCCTTACCTTAATATAAGGTAAAGGGTAAAGGGCCCCTGGACAGTTAAGTCCAGTCAAAGGCGACTATGGGGTGTGGTGCTCATCTCGCTTTCAGGCTGAGGGAGCCAGCGTTCGTCCACAGACAGCTTTCTGGCTCATGGCTAGCATGACTGAACCGCTACTGGTGCAACAGAACACCATATCAGAAACCAGAGCTCACAGAAATGCCGTTTACCTTCCCGCTGCAGTGGTACCTATTTATCTACTTGCACTAGTGTCCTTCGAACTACTAGGTTGGCAGGAGCTGGGACAGAGCAATGGAAGATCACCCTGTTGCAGGATTTGAACTGCTGACCTTCTGATCAGGAAGCCCAAGAGGCTCAGTGGTTTAGACCACAGCGCAATCCTGTATTTTTATATACCACCTGCCTTATCCTGAATGGCTGAGGATCGCTAGATATCTCACTGACCTTACAAAGCAGGTTGTCGCTTTTCTGAAGGAACAACAGGCTGAATGAAAGCGGTCCAAACATGGCAGCCCAGGGCAGAGCTGGAATCTGAACAGAGAGACATATAGGAGCATGTGAAACTGACTGTTGGCCCACTAGGTTTGCCACACATCATGTTGCTTCCGAGGGGTCAAAGGTAACAAAATGCATCCAAACAGAAAATTGTACATTCATTTAACCCCATATCTAGTCATCGTGGTTACCAAGTGTTGGACGAACAGTTCTGGCACTGTTGCCTCCCTTATTCTGATGCATTTGTTGTTTTAGCTGGCTTTGCCCTGAATCACCTGTGCCCTCCCCCCATTCTGCTCCAGAGGGTTGCCCGGCCCTGTGGAGCAGGTTTTGTGCAGTTTTGGTGGGGTAAGGAAGTGCTGCTGCATGCGCAAGAGTCTGCTCACATCACATTGGATATTGCCCTTGACTATCTCTCCCTTCTAAGTGTTCCTGGCACCCTGGTATGCCAATGAGATGTAACTGCAGCCAAGCAGTGCCAGAGGAACAGCTGTCACTCGTATCCCAGCCTTTTCATCGCATGAAACCCCTTTCATTCTGTCTACAGACTTTATTTTATTTATTTATTTGTTCAATTTATTCCCCTCCTTTCAAAACAATTCCAGTACAGAAGCAGACTAGGAAAGAGCTCAACTTATAAGGCTTGTTAAAAGAGGAAGGTCTTTCGCAGGTGCTAGCTCTGGAGCAAATTTGCGCGACTGGAGCATGGGGATCTGGTTGAGTCTGGTCTAGCCAAGCAGAGATGGCACCTGTCTAACATTCAAGGGAAGGGAATGCCAAAGGGTAGATGCTACAACACCAAAGGCCTGATTCCTACACTGGGTGGAATGGACCTCCTGATAAGGTGGTGTCTGCAAGAGGCTCTCACAAGCATCCCAGAGAAATGGGACAATAATGGTTATTTCAACAATTCTAACGCTGTGGATACCAAGGATGCCCGCATCACTTGAGGAACCAGGTTAATCCACACAGAAACAAGAGTGCACTGGTAACCCCCAGGTCCAATTCTACTGAGCATGCATTACATTGGCAGGTGGGGAGCAATGTGCTACTGTAACTTAAGCGGGATCATAGTCTATTCTTAACCTTCCTGTCTCATAGCAGGTTCAGCAGACGCCCATAAAAAGATACACACCAAGAATGCTACCAGCTGCACTTGCTCCTGCAGGATTCTCTCTCCCTCTTTGTTTAGTGGAAGGTTAAACATAACAAAAGATAAATGGCCCTCATAAAAAGGGCAGCTGCTGTCTAACAATCCCCCTCCCACAAAAAGAGAGAGCCTTATAATGGTAGTTAACCAAACTTCTCAATTGTAGTTATTAACTCCACAACAGCCAAGGTTAAGACCTAATTAAATTTCCACCTAAGGTAGCATTGGAGTGAAGGAATGTAAGTCCCGAAGCAGACTTCACTGCTGCCTAATAGCTCCATAATGGGCCTAACACCAAATTAATCTGAGCCTCCTTCACCTAATCCCACAGGACATTTTTTTAAGCAGCTGTCCTAGGGGAGAAAGAGACCCAAGGGGAAGGCATGTAATTGACTCTCATAGCCATGTTATATTTTGATATTTTGTAATGTTCTATTGGCTGCTTTGAGATTTTTGCCCCAGTGTCTCTGCATCAATGTGTCTGAGGGTATTTCTACAGTGGCAGCCTCTGGCCTTAGTATATAGTATGTTTTTGCCCTAAGATGACATAGTAACTAAGGGAGACCCTGCTTCCCCATCCAAAGTAGTCACATCCTGGGAAGTGGAATTACCTGCCTCAACCAGCCTGTTTCCTGGTCTCAGCACCCCTAGGTCATCTTTTTGTTTCCCCTTCCTTATCTGCCTCAGACTGCCCACCCCACTCTTCAGCATAGTGACGCTTTGGGACTCATGACACCTGCACAGGAGGAATTGGGAAGGTGTGGTCCTCCCAATGTTGTTGCACTCCTTCTTCCATCGTCCCTGACCACTGTCGATGCTGGCTTGAAGGGAGATGGAGTTCCACAATGTCTGGAGGGCCACAGGGTCTCCATCCTTGTTGTATATTCAAGGAAGGGACACAGTGCCCTGGGTGCATGTGATTTTGCACAAGTAAGTTTACTGCTGTTTTTAATACATGCCCAGCATCATACTTAAATCAGCTCTAAGCAGTTACCCCTGAGCTACGGATATATTTTATGACAGGCTGAAAGTCCAACTCCTGCTGTGCTTGCTACATGACCCATGGCACAAGGAGATCATTTTGTTCTGGAGGTCTTTGAAACCTTTGTCTTGCAAAGCCAAACTTAGATCCTGGAAATGTGTGCCCCACACTTTAGAACTGGAGATCAGCACACCTTGTACTATTGTAGATGCAGCCTGTTCCCTTTGGGTCTGGTCCAGTTTGCATACTGAGAATCAGATTTATCTAATGGCATGGGGACCAGGTTGCCATTATATATCCAAATAACACCAATGATGCACGTATATAGCAAACACTTATCTGACAACCGAGACGGGAGCTAACAAAAGGGAGTGCATCCTTCCTTCATCACAACATTCTCCTATGGCCTTAGTAAATAAACTGGGTTTCTCATTAACTTCACAGTTTGCCCTTTCCAGTTTGCATTTAATACAGTAGCAACTGCTTCCCTAGATACCCAGGTGCACACTGTCTTAACAGTCAGGCAGAAAGAAGCATTAAGATTACAGCCCTACAGTGTGATTTCCATTACCAAAGCAATTCCACTATGAAAGTGTCTGCTGTGGACACTGCAATATTGGCTCTGGAGCAAATTTGCGCGACTGGAGCATTGGGATCTGGTTGAGTCTGGTCTAGCCAAGCAGATAACTTCAGGTGGGTTCACAGAAGAATGTGCAAATACCAGGTCTCCCTGTTATTATTATTTTTTTCATATTCATCCTCAATACTTGGAGAACCATCTATACCAAACAATGGATCACAT